AGCGGCGCGGCGCCGCCTCACTGCGCGGCGCCCTGCAGCTGCGACGGCGACCGTCGGGTGGATTGCTCCGGGAAGGGCTTGACGGCCGTGCCCGAGGGGCTCAGCGCCTTCACCCAAGCGCTGTGAGTACCGGGGCGGCTGAGCTGTGGGGTGGAGGGTCACCGCGCGGGGTGGAGCCAGTGGCCCACCCCTCTCCAGCCACCCACCCCAGGGCCCTAGGGTCGCGGATCAGCTGTGTGGATGGGGGGGGGGGATTGACACCCTTTCCAAACTTTCCCTGGCCGGGTCCGCGAGGAGCTTCCTCTTTCTCAGACTTTTCGGGGGCGCGGGGGGGTGGCGATCGTTGACCCGGCCCGGTGTGTTTAGGGCCCAGAAGGAGGGAGGGATGTGGACCGCGTGTCCCCGAGCAAACCTTTTCGCCCGACCTGCCTTCTGCCGCAGTTCTCTGATGGACTGGGGATATGGGGGGGGGATCTTTAGCCCCAGGCCAGGAGGGCGCCGAGAACTTGGCCCCAAGTTTGCAGACCCAGGGTGGATCGCTGGGCGCACCTGGAATCCCCGGGGTCTTGGGCTGGGGGTGGGGGGGTTAGGGGGCGGGGGAGAAGAAAACACCTGTACCTTGGGAGACCCGCCTTTCAGTTTTGGCCTCCACCTGGCCGTTTGCAGCCTGGCACCCTGGCCCAGATCCCTCTCTGGAATCGCTTCCAGACGTCCAGGGCTCTGGGGCCGCCGAACACCAGGGAAAAGGACGGAGGGGAAATTACAGGCTTCTCTTGGTGAACATACTCCTTTGATTCAACCAGGCCTTTTAAAGCAGGAGTGCTGAGCTGGGGAGCACCGAGCTGGGTGCTGGAAAAGGAAGCTGGCAGCGCATGTGCGCAGTGCTGTCTGCAAGGTGGGCAGCTGTCGTGTGCCATACCTGAACCAGCAGAACATTGAGTTGTCTGAGATGGGGCAAGTCACTCACATGGTTCTGACTTCAAAAACTCTCTGTCTTCAGAGACCTGAGAGGTTCAACGGTCCCCCCAGAAAAGACAGAATCTGAAAGTAGGTATTGGAGGTGATGTTGGCAAAAGCCACCCATACAGAAAGAATAGCGTAGTTTAGTGCCCGGACTGCTTTGCGCTCTCCTTCTTCCTCCTCGCGCTGTGTGGCTGGTGGACTGATTAAATCAGGAAGAGTGAAAGAGGTGTTTGAAAGAGGAAGGGGTCTGGGAGACACTTGGGTAAAGGGAATTCCTTTTACCTTAATGCTACTGAACAAGACCTCTTAGTTTTAAGAGGAATAGACCCTGTGAGGAAACTCCTTTTAGGCAGGTGGGACACTTGCTGTATCTCTAGGTGGAGGGTGACAGACTGATCTCAGATTGTGGTTAATGAACGTTGAGGCCTGTTGTCCTGGAACCTGTTTTATTTTATTCTTCAACCCAAGCTCCCCTCTTTCTCCCCCCCCCCAACCCCATTTTGTAAAGAAGTCACACATTTGAAGTCATTTTCCTTCAGTGTTGATGGAATTTAACTTTTCACCAAAAAAGTTAACTTTACAGTGCGGAGCATACTATTCACAAAGGTCCAATACAGGAGTGGGGAAGGTTGAGGAAAGAAGGACTGGATAGAAGTAGTAGGGTAGTTTTTCCTTTGTCCTAAAAACTTTAGAAACTTTTTTTTTAAAAGGGAATTCAGGCAGAGATGTGACTTTACCTGAACCTCTGATAAGGTTGTCTATATAATAGAGAATCATAATTCTACCATTTAGGCCAGTTGTAAAGACCTTGTGTAGCAGATTCCTCCACATTTAATGAGTATAGTTGTCCTGTAAAGAAAAAGGCCTGTTTTACATTAGTACCTAAAAGCAGAAAGAAATGTCACGTTTTCAATGAGAGAGCATGCTTCTCTGGAGAGCAGCTGGCAGCACGAAGAGAAACCTCCCTGGAGGCAGTGAAATGCTATATCCTAGGAAAGAAAGTTCCTGTTCATAAGTAATAGTACTTTCTCAAATGATACTGCTTTTCACCGCCCACGTATGTATGTGTATGTGTGTGTGTTTGTCTGTTTGTGTGTATGTGAGTGTGCATATCCTGCTTGGGAGGTCTCAGGACAGATTGTCAATTTTAGGAGATTGTCAAATACAATATTCTTAGTATTTAGCTTTTCGGCCCTCTTTGAAAAGACCCCTAAAATTAGAGACTCGCTTCTTCTAGTGTAGGCATTTTTAAACTTGTCAGTCAAAACCATTTTCTGCTGCAAGCAGTGTTACCTAAGTCTGGGGACCAGGCACATGTAAATTTTCAGAATGACTGCAGGACTTCCTGCATATTTGCTGGACCTGATTATGATTATGTCACCTCTTGTCACAATTCGTGCAGAAGCTTGTTCAAGGAAGTGATCTTAATAAAATTAAAATCCCAATTTTGTCATATCCAGACACTTCAAGGTTATTCCCAGGTGAATGGTAATAAGGCCAGTTTTAATCATTTGCATTTCAAAACTGAGGGGAGAAAGAAATGAAGTCACATAGTTGGATATGAGGCTGCATAAAATCTGTCGGGAACCTGGAGCACAAGCTTTTTTGTTGTTGTTGTTGTTGTTGTTGTTTTATCCTACATTGTACCTGGCACATAAATTTAAGATTACAGAGGCTGTTTCTGTGGCTTCCTGGATCCCAGTCTTTTCCTCACCACTGGGTAATTGTGTGGCCTTGGGCAAGTCATTCTACTTTTTATTTGGTGTGTGAGAGTTTCACTTTTTAAAAAAATAAAGCAGTTGGATTGCCTAGATCATCTCTGAGGGTGCTTCTTGCTTCTAGAAGTTCTATGATTTTGTACAGTTTTTAGGATGGCAAAGTGACACTAATGTTAAGATCTTCTCATGAAAAGATACCAGGAGTTAGCAGAATATTCTTTTACTTGAAGTCACACAAGCCTATTTATTACCACTCACTTGGAGGAGTTTTCTTTGTATTTAGAAGTGTGTGTTAGGAAATTTGCCATGGAGACTTGTTGCAGAATGCATGAGTAGCTGAGGCACTTTGCTAGGGTAGAATAGCCTTACTTGTTTCCTGTGGGTATGGCTTAACACTTGGAAAATAAAATCTCTCTGTTTCAGTAATTTGGATACTGTACAAAAAGTTACTCAATGTCCTTGCTTCCACATAATTAGTCATAATCGCTCAAACCTTCACTGTTTTTATCCTGTACTGGAGCAGGTTATCAAGCTTTTCCTATGGAATTAATCATACCTGAAGGGCTTTGAAGTGTTTTAAAATAATCAGTTGCTTTTTCTTCTTTTGCAAGCACCATTTCAGATTCTTTCCCAAATATGTCATCGTCGTCGTCGTTGTCATTTGTCATTGTAGTCCTCCTCCTCCTCCTCTTCTTCCTCCTTCCTAATGTACCAAACACCTTTCTCCTTTTACTGGTATCATTTGAAATTATTTTCTTAAATATTTTCCAGTATCAACTGTGTATTTTCTGGTAGGTCAGCTCAATAATCAATGGCCAAATATTTGTACTTTATTGCTAGTGGAGATTGGAGATATTGTGATTTCAGAACTGTTACGTGCTATTGTAGTGATGTGTTTATTTTGTATGTAAGTGAACTTCAAAGTAAGGAGAATATATGAACATCTTTCAGTATAGATCCTTTATTTTGCAATCTAGTGAGCCAGTGGGTTATCTTTAGATACCTGAGAGGAAATAGCATTTCCCCTGAGAAAGCATGGGGAGCTGGGTTCCAGATCTGTCAATAATTCACAGGACCGACTTTGAGAGTGAGTCACATGCCCATCCCTTCAGGGCTTTGGCTTCCTCAACTGTAAAACTAAGAAGCTACTCTCACTGACTGGGGGTTTCTTTTAAATTTGTTTTTATTGATTTCTATTTATTGTGTATTTTGAGCCAAAGGCCTGAGGGTCTTGTGCATGCTAAGCAAGCACTCTCATGCATAGAGCTATATCCTCAGCCAGCTGTCCAGTTCTACCAGAATGTTTCTATTGAATGGGGAACTCTTGTCTCAAAGAACAAGAATGTGCTGGATTTGACTGGACTAGTATTTAGGACTTGAACCAATAATTCATTTGTTCTATGTTCCTTAAGGCTTGCAGTAGCCAATACTATTTTATGATTTCCAGTTGAACTATGTGCTGTGGCTGTCACGGTATCACAAGTATTTAATGTCCGGGCACTTGGCTCTTCACATTAGAATTGTTAAGGTAACGTGTGACAACTTAATCTCTCAGGAGAGATCAAAGATGTGTATTAGTAGGTGGATCCAGGCAAGTTTAGGCATTTTCTTGGATTCTGTCTCTGTCAGTCTGTCTGTCGCTCAGGTTCTTACTTTAGTCATCTTTAAATGGGGGAATGCATTGATAGCTTGTAGGTTGGATTATAGTTTGTGTTCTCCTTGGTTGTTCCTTCTCTATTAGCCTCATTTTTCGTATTTGTAAATAACAGACATTGGACTAGATGATTAAATATCCATTAAAGCCCAGTGTCTGTTGCCCTACTTGTATTAAAAGTTAAACTCTGCCAAATGTGCCTTTAACCTTAAAGAGATGTAACAAGTCCAGTTTAGAGTTCCTTTGTTTGCTTGTTTTTGTTTTTATTTTTCCAAGGCAAGTTCTTTCTATGTAGCCCACACTGGCCAGCCTCCAACTCCCAATCCCCCTGCCTCGTCCACTGAGTGATGGGCTTACAGGCAAGCACCACCACATCCAATAGAAGCCGTCTTGATGACAGCTTTTCTCTTTTCATTTGTAAAAGTAGACCTCAAGTTTTTTAGGTATAGAAATATGTTACCTCGCTTGCTCTTTAATCATCTTGTAGCCTAGTTTGTAGCCAAGTCAAAGCTTCCCTATTTGATACATAAAAAAACATAGATAACTTTTTCCTTTCTTTCCTAGCTAGTGAAGCAAATGGATGTGTGTGTGTGTGTGTGTGTGTGTGTGTGTGTGTGTGTATGAAGCTTTATTGAAGATATTTTAAAATGCTTAAATTGGTACACTTACACAATGTCTAATCTGCCTCCTCTTGCCCTTTCTTTTGCGCTTTTTGAGCAGCTAATGGTCAGATTATATGCCAAATGCCAGCTCTATTGTCTAAAACAGTGAAAATATAAAAACAGAT